AGAAACTATTGGCACAAAAATGGAAAAGTCCAAAAAGGTCTCACTTCAGGCCTGGCTGGATCCCGGTGCCGAAACAACATCACAAGGAATTGGCATTATCCTTCCCTTACTGAGCTGTCCTTGGTGTTGGGGTCCTTCTGGAAGAGGCTCTTCCCATTTGGTGACAAGATGGCCGCCAACAGTCAAGGCTCACCCTAACCCTAAGGGACAGCAAAAGTCTTAGGTCTGACTCTCACTGGATCCCATTTCGAAATGAATCGCTGTAGAGAATGGAATACGCCGACTGGTCAGACCTGGCCACGTGCTCATCCTAGCAGTCCTGGCCCAAACCACAAGCGTGCACGATGGAGAAGAGTCCCCTACGGAAACAGCAGGGCTGGTTACCCGGAAGACGAGTCACAGGCAAACACCAGCACAGGTGTCCGTCACACAATCGTATTATTACTACTGCCGCAACAACCTCGGTACGGACAGCTGAAAGATAAGACAGATCTTGGGTGGGTGGGACAGGAGGCAGCCGGCATCCTTGGACGAAAGAGCAAGTGGGGAACATAGCCGGGGCGGGAGGAGGAGCTCCTGGAGAATGTGAGTGGCTGGGAGTAAAAGTGACGCAGTTCTCTTAAGGTCTGCCCAAGTTAGGGATGCCACCTAAGGACTTAGGTTTTTGGGGGTTGCCAAGTGGCAGAAAAACCAGGAGACAGAGACACGGGGCACAGCCAGAAGCATGTCACTGGCTTCCAAGCAAGACACATTGGAGGGCTTGGATCAGGGTACAGAGGACCAAGAAACTGGCGATGGATTAATACAGCGCTGTCCAAGTGTCCTGTGCACAGGACTCGGACATTTGCCGGGAATTTCAAGGAGGCGAGGGAACAGGAGCAGAGTGACGCTGGGTCTGTGGGCTAGAGAAGGGCATGGTGGGAGTCCCGGCCCTGGGCAGAGGTCCTCCTCTGCTTCTGGGGTTTTCTAAGAGGGTGGTCATCTGTGCCAGCATCCGTCCCCTCTGATCCTCGAGGGGGCGGGGCTCTTGTACTGTCTCTGTTGAAACCTCACCGAGCCATGCTTTGTTCCAGAAATCCTCATCACAGCCGGCGGTGAGAACGTGGCCCCTATTCCCATTGAGAACATGGTTAAAGAGAAGATTCCCATAATCAGTCATGCCATGTTAGTGGGAGAGAAGGCAAACTTTCTGAGCATCCTGCTGACACTGAAGGTAACGTGGGTTTGCTGTCCTGGGGGGGGGGGGGGGCTCTGCCCCAGGGTCCGGAGGGTGCGCCCCTGTGGGTCCAAGACCCGCTTCCTGGTCCGCAGGGGTGGCCAGGAAGCGTGTGCGGTCACTGGGTGTGGTGACGAGGGTCTCCTGGGGCAGTGTAAGATGGACGGGATAACTGGAGAGCCACTGGACGAGCTAAGCTCGGAGGCCATCAACTTCTGCCGGCAACTGGGAAGCCACGTGTCCACTGTCTCTGAGATTTTGGAGCTGCAGGACCCCCTGGTCTACAAGGCCATCCAGGAGGGCATAGATGCTGTGAATGAGGAAGCCATCTCCAATGCACAGAGGATCCAGAAGTGGGCCATCCTGGAAAAGGACTTCTCTGTCCCCAGTGGAGAGTTGGGTGAGCAGTCTGGAGAGTAGGTGGTCTTTGGCACTTGGAGGCTGGTGCCTGGCTAGTGTCCAGGACTACACGGGCTCTAAGGAGATGTGTCCTTTTCTGGGGGTCAGGGGGTCCACCTCCAGCTCACTGGTGTCCCAGATCCTCTCCCCCCCCCCCACACACACAAGGTCCCTTCTACCCAGGGCAGCATGTCTCTCACTCTAGGAATAAAAGCCAAACTCATTATGACTCTGCATGACCCTTCTATTGACCTCTCCCTTTTCACTTACCCTACCCCAACTGCACAGGCCTCCCTGCTGTTCCCACAACTCCCCAGGCAAATTTTGCCTCAGGGCCTTTGCACCTGCTGTGCCCACTGCCTAGAATGCCCTTCCCCCTCAATTCTTTGGCTCCTTCTCATTGTCCAGGCCTCACCTACAGGTCTCACCTTACCGCACACTTCCTCAGAGAGGCCTCCTCTGGCCATCCTAGCTAACGTGACTCACTGACACCCTTCATAGGGCACGCCTCCTACACTGCCGCCATCTTGTCCCTGGAACACATCATCATCTGGAGTTACCCCATGTATTGGCTGATTTTGGTCTGTCTGCCCCCTGCACCCCGCCCCTCCAGGATGGGCGGAGGTCTTGCCTCCTACCAATGTCCTTTCTGGGGCTTGCTCTCAGCACTCAGCTGTAGTCTGATGGCATGAACAGCAAAGAGTTAGAGTGACGGCAAACACACAGCCTCCAACAACTTGGGTTCAAATCCTGTCCCTCGAGGGGGCACTTGTCCCTCCAAGCCTTGGTCCTTTCAACTACGAGTTGAAAATGCAGCCCTCATGGGGCTGCTCAGGACACGGCTGGGGAAGCCTGAACCCCACAGTGACCCAGAGCCTACGAGCAGCCTGGGCCGTGGATCAGACCACTCCCGAATTCATGCCTTGCCCCTGCCGGGCACATGCTGGGCCACCTCAGAGCTACTGGCCCTGAGACGGTTTCCTCACCTGGAAGATGAGGGGGCGGTGCACCCCCTTTGCTGGGTTCGCCGTCCACATTAGGCACAGAGCTCAGCGTGCTGTGCACCTGCCAGCCCACAGAGTCCTCACTACAGCCCAAGGCGAGGGAGAGTTCATCACTCCCCACACTGAAGGTGGAGGAAACACACCCAGGAAGTCGATGGGAGAGCCAGCCCCCAACACGGGGACCCTGCTGCCCCCCCCCCCCAGGACATGTGGCCTTTTATTTCATCCCCACATTGGAACTGGTTTCTCCTTTCTCGATAGGTCCGACGACAAAGGTTAGGAGACATTTTGTGGCCCAGAAATACAAAAGGCTAATTGAAAGCTTCTACTACTGACCTCTCTGGCGGAGCAGCTCTCAGCTGTCCCAACGGTGAGAGTGGCTGGGCTGGGCTGGGCGGGGCCAACGGAGGTGGTCTCCCCTGTGTGGCAGGCGGGGCTGTGGGCGGGGCTGCAGAGGCCGCGCGTGTGCGCGCGCGCAGCTCCCAGGGGCCCTGGCTCTGGCCTCAAGTCATGCTTTCTCTACCAGGGTCATGGCGAGCCGTGCACACTCCTTCTTGGCTGGCTGCCAAGGCTGTTAGCTGTTCCTCCTGCCTTTTCTACTCGTCTCGGAGAAGGAGCGAAGCAATCTTCCCATCCAGGACCAGGTTTTGCTGTTAAAATGCTCAAATGTTTCGTAGCTCATGTGGAGGAGGCCTTTTGTTGGGAACGTTCGTGGGGGGAGAGTGCTACTTGCCAGGAGCCCAAGGAATGATGCATGCTGGCCCATCGCAGATGGTAAGGGATGGGGTCTTGAAAAACTCCCACCTACCAACCCCTGTCCTCTCCCCAAGTCTCATCCACAGGAGCTCCCATAACACCAAGGGTCCCTGATAGGTTTGTGGGAGCCCAGCTAGATGCAAGAGCAGACGGACGGCACAACAAATTCTCAGTTGTCCTAAAAGCCACTGGTAAACTTTTCATGTTCAAATCATCGCCTGCTGACGCCCCCAGCCAGCTCACCTGTAGCAGCCTGCCGGGGCTTCTGCAACCAAGTACCCTGCAAGGTACCGGCTGGGTTGGCTTGTTCTGAGGCTCGTCTCTGTGTCCACATTTCCCTTTTTCACAAGGACACTGGTCATCCTGGATCGGGCCCACCCTAATGACCTCATTTTAGCTTGATCACCTCTGTAAAGACTCTATCCTCAAATACAGTCACATTCTGAGGTCCTGGGGGTTAGGGCTTCCACAGATGAATCAGGACGGGGCGGGGGATGGGGGGAGGCAGGCATAATTCGGCCCATCACACCTTTTCTTCATTGTTGTCTGGCCTCACTCTTCCACACCTTCATCTGCCAAAGTCTCGTGGGGGAGCCCAGCAGTTAAACAAATCATGTGTATCATTCCACATCTTTTGCAAGACTTCCAATTACACCTTGCAGTTGGGCAAAAGACCACCTGACACTGACATGGGGGTGGGAGATGGACCCTTTACACCTGTGCTGACCAAGATGGCAGCCATTCCAATTGAGATGTGCCATAAGTCCAAACATAGACTGGATTTGACAGCTGGGTATGAAATAGAGAATACAAAATACCTCATTAATATTTTAAAATATTGATTACATGTTGAAATGATACTATTTTAGACATACTGGGTGACAAAAATATATTACTTCAGTTAATTTCACCTATTACATTTTTACATGTGGCTACCAGAAAAAAAATTTAAAAAATTTTTTTTAAAGTTTATTTTCAAGACACAGAGCATGAGTGGGGGAGGGGCAGAGAGAGAGAGAGAGAGAGAGAGAGAGAGAGAGAGAGAGAGAATCCAAAGCAGGCTCCAGGCTCTGAGCTTGTCAGCACTGGAGCCCGACGTGGGGCTCGAACTCACAAAGCATGAGATCATGACCTGAGCTGAAGTCGGATGCTTAACCGACTGAGCCACCAGGGTGCTCTGAAGATTTTTAATTGCATAGGTGGCTTACATGATATTTCTCATGGACAGCACTGCTCTAAAGTTTACTGGAGAGGGATTCAATTGTTTTTCTAACTTATAAACTAATACATTCATTCAGGAATATTTTCATCCTATGGTAACTGTGGGATCTCAGAGAATGAGCACACAGATTTCAAGTCTCTCCAGGTAATAACTTATCCTTCCTCTCCCTCTAGCTTCCAACAGGAAGATCCCTCTGGGTAGGGGCTTTTTCTCCTGTTTTTAAGAAGCCCAGATTCCCCATGGGTCAGTCTGTTGAAGAGGTGCCCCCTCAGGGACCCGCCATGCCTTTTGAAGGAATATATTGGATCATCATAGATCTCTGAATTCCTGTGAACCTTCAAGGCATGATCCCAGGGAAACTTATGGGGAAGCCTATAAAGAACCTCTCGGGGCACCTGCATGGCTCAGTTGGTTGAGTGTTCGATGTCAGCCCAGGTCGTGATCCTGTGCTTCATGGGTTTGAGCCCCATGTCAGGCTCTGTGCTGACAGCTCGGAGCCTGGAGCCTGCTTCGGATCCTGTGTCTCCCTCTCTCTCTGCCCCTCCCCCACTCTGTCTCTCTGTCTCCCCAAAATAAATAAACATTTAAAAAAATAAAAAACAAAAAGAACTTCTCATCTTGTGGGTTCCAATTCGAGATTCGAGTTTTTTCTCCCCAGAGGGCTGAGGCATCAGAAAGAAAAACCTTCACAAGTCTATGGCCATACCACCCTGAACACGCTTGATCTCATCTGATCTCAGAAGCTGCGCAGGGTCAGGCCTGGTTAGTACTCGGATGGGAGGAAAGCCTTCGCACGTCTGAGGAAGTGGGTCCCCAAGCCAACTCATCTTCCTAGAAGCAACCTGGAAACTCTTCCAATAAGTTCCGATAATAAAGCACTTCAGCATCCCACGTCCCGATTTGGGGCCAGATTCAAACATTTTGTCCTTTGTTGAGAAGTTCAGACTCTGAAATCAGTTCTGAGTTCAAATTCTGACTAGCTATGTGAGTTCAACCTTCTGAGTCTGGAGGGGGTGGGGCTCTGTAATCCTCCCCCCCCCCCCCCACCGCCACTCACAGTGTGGCTGTGGAAGACTCACACCATCACAGGTGAAGGTACACAGAGAACGCAAACGGAGTGCAGCATCTGATACCCAAAAGCCCTCGAAACAGGTAAACTGTATCATCGAAGCACCCACAAGTCTCGGTTAACAGCTGATTCTTGATGAATGCCATCTCTGGGGATGAGTCTCGCTGTTATCCTAAGGTCCAAAATAACAGAAACTTAAAGAAGAGAGAAGTTCAGGGGCACCTGGGAGGCTCAGTCAGTTAAGCCTCTGACTCGGTTTCAGCTCTGGACATGAGCTCACGGTTCATGAGTTCGAGCCCTGCATCGGGCTCTGCGCTGATGGCGAGGGGTCTGCTTGGTATCCTCTCTCTCCCTCTCTCTCTGCCCCTCTCACAACACACTTTCTCTCAAAATACATAAATAAAAACTTAAAAAAAAAGTTCATTCTTCTTTCATCCACAAGTCCATATACAGGCAGATCAAAGCTGACACAATAAATCCACAGTGTTGGTCCCTGAAAGACCAGTGGGGGAGGCACCTCTCAGGCCAAAGGAGGACAGCCTATTAGGACAGGAAGAGAATTTCCAGTCTTTTAAGGTTCTAGATACCCACATGTGTCCCAGGGCCCCTTTTCTTTTTAAAATATAAAAGTAAAGGGGCGGCTGGGTGGCTCAGTTGGTTAAGCGTCCAACTTGGGCCCGGGGCATAATCTCGCGGTTCGTGAGTTCGAGCCCCATGTCGGGCTCTGTGCTGACAACTCGGAGCCTGGAACCTGCTTTGGATTCTGCGTCTCCCTCTCTCTCTGCCCCTTCCCCGCTCATGCTCTGTCTCTCAAAAATGAATAAACATTAAATATATATCTATATCTATATATCTATGTAGAAGTATGAATAGATCAGAAATGTATGAAGACATTCTCCTTGTAATAATAATGATAATAATGCATATAAGGGTAAAGTCATTTTTGGTGGGCTTCCTTACCCATCTGGTAGGTCTGTTTTTTTAATATGTAAGTGTAGTCAATCTTCCTCTTTTGAAGACTCTGTATTTGCAAGTTTGGCACTCACTAAAACTTACCTGTAACCCCCAAGTCAATGCTCCCTGTACTTTTGTGGTCATCTGTGGACATGCGCAGAGCAGTCAAAAGTCTGAAGTGCCCAACATTCACATTCTCAGCTGAGGTCAAACGCAGCACTGCCTTGCCTTCTCGCTTGCGCTCACAATGTAAATGCACGTCCTTCTGGGGGTCTGTTTAGCACCGTGTTTTTGCATGTTTGTTGGGTGATTTCACTGTTGAAAGTGGCCCCCAAGTCTAGTGCTGAAACTCTGTCTAGTGTTCCTGAGTGCAAGAAGGCTATGATGAGCCCAGGGAGAGAAAATACAGGTGTCAGATAAACTTCATTCACACATGAATTCTAGTGCTGTTGGCCATGAGTTCAATGCAAATGGATCAATAATGTGTATTAACTAAGGTGTCCCTGAACAGAAAACACAAATAAACAAGGTCAGGTAGCGATCAGTTCACAAAAATGTTGTGACAGAGGCTGCCAGGAACCTGACTCTGTATTTCTCCCAAGAGCAATGGTTCAATATTTACTAATTCAGTATTCACAGCACCTGTATAAACATAACTACCACAAATAACAAGAATCGACTACATATAAATATATATGTCACTATAGAAAAAAGATATGTGTGTGTGATAGAGATGGGAGAATTCATATTTACATATAAAAATATGTAAGAGAGACATTTTCTGTTCCGGGCAGGGGACAGTTAGCACGGTGGTTGAGAATGTGAGGAGGGGGCAGGGGGCAGGCTTAGAGGCCAAGGGTGTGGAACCGAGGGGAACACAGACATGGCAGGCTGAGGAGAGGAACAGTGTGGTCAGGAGGCTGGATACACTGAACAAATAAGTAAATAGATTTCTAAAAAGTGGAAGCCAAGTTTCTTGTTGCCAGAGAAGAAACTTAGGAAAAGGCTAGAATGAGGAGGTATTATATTTGAATTGGAGGTTATGTACAACTCATATTTTTATAATACATACACACAGATACAGAACTGTAGACGTGTGTTATATATATCTACTAGGTCTGTAAGTACACACTCACGTAGTTTTGTGTATATACATGCACATACATACATACATATATACGTGTTTTCTATCTCCGTCTGCTCCAAGGGCCCAGCAGCAGTTAGCACACTGAATGCCCAGATCTTGGCTTCTAAATCCCATCTACTGCTAAAAGGAACCAGGGATGTTTGGGGAAATGTCTGACTCCAGGGCCAAGAAAGAGCCTGGAACTTCTTGTGTCAGAAAGTAAAGTGCTAAAACAAAATGAAACAAAACACAAAAGGTGGGGCCTGGCTGAGGGCCAGAGGAACCAGGCTGAAGGACTTTCCGCTGGCCACGTCAGGGGCAATTTGAGTATCAAAACAAATAATGACAGTAACAGAGTATACCCCACAGAATAACTGGTTATAACTATTGTAACACAAAGTCCCCAATAACACAGAAGGAATAGTGGGATTGGAAAATCTCCGTCTGGCAGTCAGTATGCAGGTGGATGGACAAACAGGGGTCATCACCGGGTACCAAGGTCACTGGCTGGAGGTTTGACGATGGGGAAGATGGTATAATCTCATAATACCTCC